TTCAAAAGAGGCTTTTTGAAGTTTTTAAAAAATTAGAGATGACGTCAGCTACGTGGTTTAGTCGAGCGCGGTTTAGTCGAACGCGGTTTTGTGGTGGAACCCAAAAAGAACCACTCAAAGTAACAACCCTGATTCAATAAAGCAACTTTGTTCCTTCAAGGGTAAAACAATCTTGCTCTTTAATCCATTTATACTATTGCTGATCCTCATCTCTAATTTTTTAAAAACTTCAAAAAGCCTCTTTTGAAAGTCCAGCAAGACAAAATTATTCCAATTTCTGAAATTGGCATTCTTATCTTCATCTTAATTTTTAAAACCTTAGGTGATTTTATTTTTTGCATGTCTAATGACAAATTCTTGTTCACATTCTCAGATTTTGTTGCAGTTTTTTTTTCTCTAACAGTTTCATCTGGGAACATACTGCTCCTAAGAATAGACAACACTGCTGATACAGTGATTCAGTATCCCAATGCAATTCCTTAAAAATGTCTTGAAAGCCTTTATATATTGCTTAGCTTGTCATATCTAATTTTGTCTCCAATATCTAGAATATTTTCCCACAAAAATATGTTCTCTAGAATTAATTTCAAAGTCTTAATATTCGAGATCAAATATTCTAATTTTTTCAGACCCTTTGATTCATTTAAAACTTTCTATGCTCAAAACCCTGTGTTGCTTTTTGCTGTTTCGTTTGAATTCCTAAAGCTTTTTAAAGAAAGTTTCAGTTTCTTATATTAAGGATTGAAGGCACTGCCTTGTCATTTTGAAGGTATCTAATCTCTTTAAAGTAGTTAATAGGCAATTTCTAAAACAGCGATTAGCCCCCAAAAAGTGTGAAATTAGTGTCTTTTACAAGATTCTGACTATAGCTGGAGCAAGTATAACAAGTTTTCTTGGCTCCCAGTTTCCCCCCCTCCTTGTGAGGGGAAATCATATGTGGTGCAACTTAGCCAATCTTGCATCTTCTCCTTGCCCAGAGAAGGTCAAAGGAACCGATCTGTTTGTCAACTCCCTATTCTTAGTACATTATCAGCTCCATATTTTCTGCCCTCCATTCTTCCCTGGAACTGATCCAGCTACAGCTATTCTATAGCTAAGCTCCAGTGCTCTTACAGTTTCTTCATGGCTACTATAAGCTCTGGTACCTTGCTTGCTCCTTCTAATATTGAGCTTGGTTAATCCTACTTGCTATAAACTAAAGCTTCCCTTTTGATTCTCATTATATTAAGTAACATGGCCTGAAGAACCGTGCAAACATTATAGGTGATATTATCATTTAGCATATATTCTTTCTAAAATGAGAATGTGTTCAGGTGTTCAAAATCTCTGGAGCTTCTTTCTTCAATCCCAGAACATTTGGAATTTATTCTCAATAGTATTAAAATGGACTCTTAAGTATTGATTACTATTTCTCAAGTTTTTGCATTAAGGTCAGGAGCCAGAGTTGAAATATGGCTCAGATTAAGCCCTATATATATACAACCTGCTGAGAAGCTGAGAACCCCAAGAAAGAGACAGATATGTTTTCTGCATCTCTTGCAAAAAAAAATAAAAAATCAAAAAGATTGTTTAAAGTTTCATTCTCCAGCTGCCCAACTTTAGATCAGCAGGAGTCTTCCCTGGCTAAAAAGAGGTCAACGTATGCTGCTTCCTTGGTCATAGCAATTAGTACTATCTATAAAAAGGGGAATCGTGTTTGTTTTTGTGTCTCTCCCTGACTTGTAAGGTCAATCTGAAAAGGCAATGTACAGATGGTTTCTATTTTGACTTGAGAATAGCATACCTAAGTGCTGACCTGTGAACGCACCAGGCAAGGATATTTCTAGCTTTATAGATTATCATTTGAATGCAGACGTATATGTGGGAAACCTTAGGTGAACATGTTCTTTTCAAGGCTTAGATTGTTGCCGATGATTTTTAACATGCAGTAGTTTGCCCAGTGGGTATTCCCTAACATATCAAGCTTGGTGGTCTGTTTATAAAGATAAAAGTTACAGTTGTCCATTCATGTCCAACTCTAGGAGGCGGTGCTCATCTCCATTTCTTAGCCGAGGGATCCAGCATTGTCCGAAGACATGTGCATGGTCATGTAGTCAGCATGACTATACGACAAGGCACACATAATGTCTTGCCACTGAAGTGGTACCTGTTTATCTACTCACATATTCATGCTTTCAAATGGCTAATAAACTAAACTGCTTAGTCGTTACCTATCAGCAACAGTATTCACTTGGTTGCAATACCAAAGACTGTAATTTGACTCTGTGCATTTGAAACTGGCAGCTTGGTCTAAGCTGGACCATTTCATTCGGCAATTGAAATACTTCCTGGCTGTTGTATATCAGAATTTTTGCTTACCAAAAGGGAGACAATTGATTTTGGTCTTAGTATCTGATGATTCCAGGGTTGTTGCTCAAGAAAATTGCAGGTGGACCTCATGGGGTTATTGGGCAGAAGATCACAAAAGAATAATGGAAGAAGTTCTTTACTTTCATTGTCTATGTCTACTCTTCTCTCCCATTCTGTAGAAGAAGTATGCAGCCAGTCCCTACTCAGATGAGATTGTGATGGAGGTATCACCAAAGCAGCAAGATGAACCAGAGATGCTGTGGGTGATGGGGCCTGTCCTTGCGGTCATCTTAATTATCATTATTGTTATTGCTATCCTACTCTTCAAAAGGTAAGCAGCAGCCTATGCATACAGAAGATATGGTGACTATTGTCCCATATTATGGCAGCTTAAAGGGGCTTAAGTTCTTCATAGAGACTAATATAATGTTAATTCTAAGATAAAAGTCAGCCATCTCTAAGATAGTTTGATTCTATCCAAAGCTTTGCTAACTTGTAGGGCAATGGTGGATGGGAGATAACAGTCCATGCATTTCATTTTGGAATGGAATGAATGAACGAACCTGCCAACATTTGATAAACTTTTTGTGTATACAAGTAGTCCTTTAGTAATGACCACAATTAGGACCAGATTTTTGTTGTTAGGCAAGGTGGTTGTTAAATAAGTCATGCCCAATTTTACAAAGTTGTTAAGTGAATCACTGCAGTTGAGTGAATTGGGCAATTCTTAAGTAAATTCAGCTTCCCTCATTGATTACGCTTTGTCAGAAACTTGCGATGACATGATCCTGTTGCGCTACAACCCCTGTAAATATGTACTGGATGCCAAGCACTCAGACTTTTATTTCATGATCATGGGGATGCTGCAGAATTTATAAGTGCAAGGCCCAGTCCTAAGTCACTTTTTCAATGCTTTTTTCAATATTGTAACTTTAAACAGTAGCTAAACAAATGGTTATACATGGTTCCTATCTCTAATAAGACTGAGCAACTTCATATAAGTGCTTGGTTAAATTTTATAGATTACTATTGCTTAAATTATATATCTATCTATGCCCAAGAAGTCTCTCCTCCCCCACATACCCCATAACTTTATTGAAAGGCTTGGTGCTTTAATCCATGAAAATATAGAATTCTGTGTTTGGGCAGAAGGAGGTCCTGTCATGTTAGCTGCGACCACGTTCTTGGCAAGAATGTCCAGTGTCATCTGCCTGTGATGTTAAAGTAGCAACAGTTTATTTATTTGTCTTCCATCTCTTACCCAAACAATCTACCATAACTTTGCTATATACAAATGCATGGTTCCAAGGTGGAGGGAAAGAAAGTGACTTTAGGTTATTGCCTATATGGTTAGTATCTTTGAATAATCCTGGTTTCCTCTTTTATTTCTGCTTCCGTGGATCTAGCAAACAGGAAAGGTAGTTAGCATCTTTCTCTTTTTGTTGTATATGTTGAGATCCAAAATTTCATCTTGCTAAAACCAAAATATGTACTGCTCAAACCAGTCTGGTTTTTGATATTTCTCTGGCTTTCTTGCTACTGTGCCATACTTCTTCATTCTTTACCTACTTCATGTCATTCTTAGAGTAAATAAACAACTTCACAAATAAGATGACCATGTTTTAGAGTTTGTCTGTTTAAGTCTAAGGGACGTGGTAGCTCAGTGGCTAAGATGCTCAGCTTGTCGATCAGAAAGATCAGCGGTTCAAATTCCTAGCTACCCATAATGGAGTGAGTTCCCGTTACTTGTCCCAGCTTCTGCCAACCTAGCAATTCGAAAGTACATAAAAAGTGCAAATAGAAAAATAGGGACATTAGGCATTTAGTCATGCTGGCCACATGACCATGGAGATGTCTTAGTACAGCGCTGGCTCTTCAGCTTTGAAGTGGAGATGAGTACTGCTCCCTAGAGTCGGGAACGACTAGTACATATGTGCAAGGAGAATCTTTACCTTTACCGGTTTACATATATACATGTCTACAATGAGAAAGTTTGACTAAGAATGTGGCATATTCTATTAATCAGTTCCATAAGCCTTGTTCTGAATGATTCCTTTTTCCTATTATCAACCAGATTTCTTCTTTCGTTACCTAACTGATCATTGGTAAAACAAAGTAATTCTATTATAGTAGTAACTTTTAACAGAAATTAGAGACCAAAACAAAGTAGTTTGGCATTTTTCTATGTACTTTTGTTCGAGTAATGAATTCAGATTGATGACATACTTTTTTCTGACATGCAGCTCCTTTATAAATGATCTCCTCTCAATTTATGCTACAAATATATAAAGATATATAATAAATATGTTGAACAGTTTTTACCCCTGTAAATTCATAGAAAACGATATGAAAAAAATATTAACAGCAGTGCATCTGCTGGAGCAACCTGACTCTCACTAATTCCTATAAGTTGCAAGTAGTTTCCTGTTCTGCAGTTTTGTGGTACTTTTTTTCCTTTTAAAAAATGAGCTTTTGTCACAGGAAGACATTCACTCACCAAAATGTCCTTTGTCTTGTCTAGGAGTGCATCAGAATGCCTTTACCTATATTCAAGAGATTTGAACAGCCAGTTGTGTGCACTTGCTTGCATGCATGCACGCTTATGCATGCAAACATACGCACATACTGTATGTAACCGTTGGGTTAGGTGAAAAGAAAGGTTTTGTAACATGCATTAGGTGAATGCTAAGAAGCAACAGAACCATATGGAGTCATGTGGGTTAATGGTAATCAGTGACCCCACCAATAATATTTCTTTCCATCCCAAAATATCTTGCAAATCTGTCCCACTTAATTTCTGGACAGGTTCTTCTCTGCTTAGTTAGTGAAATCTACCAGGATAGGGTTGCAGAACTATGGACATAAATATAACACAAAGAGATAACAATGTATTTTATTATGCTATTAACAATGCTGGGGGGCAGGGGGGCTTCAGCCATTCAAGACAAGTATTAATGGACCAATAACGTTTACCCAAAAGACCCTCTATCCTTGTACATTACAACTCTTCACATTTTAAAATAATTTTTAATAGAGAGAATCTTCTGTATTCTTCCATAGGAAATAGTCCCTTACAAATAAATATGAAGCGAAAGAGGAATGGCAAGTTTTTGTCATTGCGTTCCTGTCAGATAGAGGGCTTTAATAGTCCTTTTGCTTGCTGCTATATATGTTTCTGAGACTGTTGCCGGGATCTTGTGATTGTTTCCCAAATTTATCTTGTATAACTTTCTCTTTCTTTTCCTTAGGAAAAGGGCCAATTCACCCTCATCCAAGGATGAACATTCCATTGGCCTGAAGGACTCCTTGCTGGCCCACTCCTCTGACCCTGTTGAAATGAGGCGACTTAACTACCAAACCCCAGGTGGGCTATAGTTATATTGTCCAGGGATAGTTACCTCTCATATTACGTGTCTCTCTTCACTGGGTGTACCTATCATACCAGGTTCAAATTAATCAGCCAAATGAAAGTCCAATCTGCTGATAGATCAGATATCAGGTTGGCAGGTTTAGTTGGCTGGCTCCTGATTTGGTTCCTGAAGAGCTCCCTACCTTCTGGTCCTTATGACATGTTAAATTATTACTTGCTGCTGACCCTCAGCAGTCTCTCTTCATAAGGCAGCATTTTTTAGATTTATTGCTTTTTGGAGGTTATTTTACTCTCATCTGGGAAAGATTTGATTTGTTTTCTCACTCGTTCATGCGAAATAACTTGCCATCCTGCCTTCCTTAGGTGATGGACTTTATAAAGCATGTAAGCCATTTTAGTAATTAAAAAAGGACATATTTGGCTTCTGAGCTCTACACATCAAGTTGGGGCATTTTTCCCCCTAAATGATATGGGGGCGGAGAAGCATTTCAAGGTGAGATCTGCAAGTTTGTTTATGGCCGCATGAAGCCTTTTCTTACTCTACAACTGGACATGATTACTTTGCACAGGTCATCTTAGAAACAGACTAAAGGTTAGGGCTATTCAGATTGCATGTATATATATATAGTGGGAGATGGGCAATTAATTTTCCTAAGAGGCCACATGAAAACTGGGACTGTAGTGGAGGATTGGCCCAAAGCGTAGGCCTACACTCACATACATACATAAATTGAAAATCATAGCCATCGCCTTCAAAATAGAAGTAATGCAGTTGTATTGCATCCATGAAGTATACTTACCTACATTTGATTTCTGATCTCTGATCAACCTCAGGATAGGGACAGCCAAAGGGCCAAATGTGTCTTGGACACCATAAAATGTCCATGTCTGTGTTAAAAAATAATAGCTTGAGGAAGGCAGTTTAGTTTTTACTTTCAGTCTGGAACTTGCTTCTATTCTTTGCACCATTTTATTTTTATTAGTTGATTTTCAAGATGAATACTTTTGTTACCGTCTGAACTATCAGTTTCCTCCATCTAATCTCACTTTAGGCTGAGTTGAATAGATAATCTCTGGAACCAGACAACCACTAAATCACCAGCAGACTGGTAGTTTGTTACCTTTGGTAACAACTCAAATATGAAAGGCCCTGCTTAGTATATAATTAATTAAACTGCTCTAATTCAGAATAAAACTTTCTGCCTTAATAATTTCTACTTCACAAACAGTTCTTACATGAGTTGTCACTTTCTTTATATTCATATTCATTTTCAGCTGAGGCAGGTTTGGTAACGTATTGCTGTTATGTGATTGAATAAATTCTGACTGCACTTTGGTCATAAGATTCCTGTAACAAAGAATGCATGTCTTGAGAAAAGGCCAGATAATTTAAGATTTGAGACAATCCTAACTATTGTTACCTGAGACAAGATAACATTGGTGATAAAATTACCTGTAAAATAATCCTTGTTGTAACTGATATCGTTTTAATACTGTACCTACTATACTTCAGAGGTGGGTTCCTACTGGTTCGGACCGTTATGCTGAACCAATAGTTGTTTGGCAGCCTGGGTCGCTGGAACCAGCAGCGACCCAGGCCTGCCATTCCCCCAAACTGGTTCTCCCATGGGGCCGCCATCTTGATTTTCAGTTCTGCGCATGCACAGAACAATTGTAATTTCACAAATTTATTTATTTATTCTTTTTTTAACATTTTGTGCATGCGCAGACCTATTTTTGTGCAAATGCACACGCATACCGAACCGGCAGTAATGCCGGGAGCAACCCACCCCTGCTATGCTTCCATATGTGTAACTAATGTCAAGCTAAAATTGTTATCCTCAAACTTGGTTTTGAAGGTGGTGATGAGGACTTTTGTGTTACCTTTTGACCTTCTCTTACTCCTTAATTTTGCCTTCAGCAACAGTAATGGGATTTCTGTTCTTACAGGTGCCAGTGGCCCCAGTTGCCCGAACATATCAAGTTAGTTTTCTTTCCACCTGCTTTGCTTTTTTTCTCACTCCACGCAACTCCTTCTTTCCCATCTCCTTTGTTCAGCATCATGAAGGTCGACCTCACTCACCACAGATTTAGATCACTTTCTAATCATGATCACTTTCTAATAAGCCAAGATGTTTCATCAGAACAAGCTTTTGGTGCTTCTCGTGTAGGATGCTCCGGCTTGCACAGGAAGAAAGAAAAAGAGTCTAAAGGTTCACACTCTTCTAAGCAGTTCCAATCAGAAATCTTGAAGTTCCCAGCTGGGCTGAAACATGAAACTGTAGTCCTTGGATAAGACTATGACGAGCTAATTTGTAATATTTTGTGGAAATGCTCACCACCCAAAATTGGTCCAGTAGGCTTAGACTTAATCATCCTCTGAATTGCACTTCAACTTTTATTCTCTTGGCAATACAGGTAGTCCTCAATTTACAACCACAATTGAGCCCAATATTTATGTTGATAAGTGAGTTTTGCCCCATTTTATGACTCTTGCCACATTTGTTAAATGAATCACTGCAGTTGTTAAATTAGTAACATGATTGTTAAATGAATCTGGTTTCTCCATTAACTTTGCTTGTCAGAAGTTCGCAAAAGGGATCTCATGACTTTTGAAGATTGCAACTGTCATAAATATGAGTAAGTTGTCAAGTATCCAAGTGTAAATCATGTAACCATGGGAACGCTGCAAGGATCATAAGTGTGAAAAATGGTTATGTCACTATTTTCAGTGCTGTTGTAACTTCGAGTGGTCACTAAATGAACTGTTGTAAGTCGAGGACTACCTGTACCTTCCTGAAACATTTTCAGTCTAGGTTTCCTAGCTCTCTTTTTCTTTCTTTCCTTCCTTCCTTCCACCTTACAGAACTTCAAGTAAGACAAGCATTATTTTAGGGATATTATGATGTTTTGCAAGCAAAGAAACATGTGTGAATTGATTGGCCCCACAGGGTTATAGAAGTTGGTGTTCATGTTCTAAGAAGGAAGAGGAAATGAATGTTGATGCTTAAAGAATTACCAAAGAACAAAGGCAAAATTAGATGTCGGAGGTGGAAACAAAGCCTAGTGTGCTAGTGAGACCATAGCTTAACAGACTCCTATTTTGTACATTTCAGATACAGTGGACCAAATTTCTACCCAGGAATTCTCTTCCTTCCCCACCCCTACTCCTGGGTAAAAAAATGCCAAGTGCATTGCACTAAAGTAGTCCAATGAAGCAGCTAAATTTATGTTGATTCTGTGAAGTTCCCAGAAGACGACCTAATTAATTTACAAGCCCCGAGACAAAGTTCAAAAGAAATCCAATCATTTATTGGATCGGTGTGGACTCCTGTGGAGCCAAAACTGTTTTCGCTTAATTGCATTTGAACTTCACCCCCTGTATCCCCTCCCTTCTGTTCTGCGTCATAATTCATATTCTCCAATGAGGTTGTAGACATGAGCTCTGACTCCGGTTGAAGGCATGCATGGAATTTCCCCTTCCATGCAAGCCTGATAATAATCATGGCAATACTTTAGAAGTTGACAGATTCTACCTTGATCTTACATCTTTTATTATGTATTACCAAAGAACAAAGGCAAAATTAGATGTCGGATGTGGAAACAAAGCCTAGTGTGCTAGTGAGACCATAGCTTAACACTCCTATTTTGTACATTTCAGATACAGTGGACCAAATTTCTACCCAGGAATTCTCTTCCTTCCCCACCCCTACTGGCGAACCTTTTTTGGCTCTCGTGCCATAAGTGGGGGGAGTGCAGGGGGGGGGGTCGTGTGCGGGCATGCCACACTGATAATGCAATGTACGACACACACCCAGTGCGCATGCGTGCACTATAGGTGCGACCCCCCTTATTTTGCATGCTTTTTTGGCCCTGCCCAGGCTCCAGAGGCTTTATAGGAGCCTGGGGAGGACAAAAACAGCCTCCCCTGCCCCCTCGGAAGCCCCCCGTAGGCTTCAGGGACCTCCAGGAGGCTTCCCTGAAACCTCGGGAGCAGTCAAAACGACCCTCCGAGCAAACAGGAAGTCCGTTCCCGAACATCCGGTTTGCCTTTAGGGCCGTTTTTGGTGCTCCCGAGGCTCCAGGAAAGCTCACGAAGCCTCCGGAGGGCCTCCGGGGGGGGCGGGGGAGGCTCTTTTCGCCGTCCCCAGGCTCCTATAAAGCCTCTGGAGCCTGGGGAGGGCAAAACATGGCTTTAGAAAAGGGTGAACTCAGGGTGAAGGGTGAATTTGCCCTGACAAATGGCTCCACGTGCCACCTGTGGCACGTGTGCCATAGGTTCGTCATCACTGATATAGACTGTATGAAAATGACACAAAGGATAGCCTTTATATCAATTTTTATCATTTATGTCCATTTCAATTATTTGCAGGGTGACATCATTACCTAAACGACGTCATTCAGCAAATGACAAAACATGGTGCAAACTGTCCTAGTGAGATATTTTCATATTATAAATAGATAGGATACCATCTCTCTTCAAATGATTTTACTGAATTCTGTAAATTTGTTTTGTTGCGCTGTATACTCTCATCCAGAATGCATACTCAGGAAAGTTAATACACAGTCTTTCTAAATGATAAGGTTTATTGATGCATCTACAGTGGACATACAGCGTATGACTTGTCTGCCCCAGTCACTTTATGATAAATAAGCTGTTGAGAGAAATTGTTCCTCAAGCAACTGTTCACAATTTCTGTTTCTGCACTGTACTGCATATTGCTGATACGAAATAGATACACAGTCCCATTCTTCAGGAGCTTTATTGCTGTCCCTGAAACCTTAGTTTAGCCTAAGGACATGCAGGAGCATCTCTTCAAGGCTTTTCACCTTTTCTAGGATGTTGTTATATTTGGAAACCACCTGGCTGATTGTTGTCTCATCTAAGCATGAACAGATACTTTCTGCCTTTTTACAGGCACCGCATGCCACATTGACTTCTTCATGTCCCGTTTTCTGTGCTACTGCTATTCATTGCCATCAGCTCCACTATGCACATATGAAAGAAGACCTCTCCCTAGCTAAATAATTATTCTTCCTGATACCATGTCCCCCTCTGTTTTGTTTCATCTGATAGGCATGCGTGACCATCCTCCCATTCCAGTAACTGACCTTGCTGACAATATTGACAGACTGAAAGCCAACGATGGACTGAAATTCTCCCAGGAATATGAGGTGAGAAGATTGGGGGCGGGGTTGCCGAGAGGGAATAGTTCAATATTTTTTTTATTATTATTTATATCACTATTTTTACAAATAACTCAAGGCAGCGACCATGTCCAACACTCCTTCACCCTCCTATTTTCCTCACAACAACTCTGTGAGTTGGGTTGGGCTGAGAGAGAGTGACTGGCCCAAGATCACCCATCTGACTTTCATGGTTAGGGCAAGACAAACTCACGGTCTCTTGCTTTTAGGTTTGGTGCTTTAACCACTAGAACAGACTGGTTCTCCAGAAAAAACCTGGCTATCCTTTATCCTTAAAAAGAGTAACAGTCTGTGCTGTAGTTGACTGTGTAATAACATAATCATATCCATATTCACAGTTTATGAAATTCCACTGTTTGACTACTAAGTACTCCGCTCTCAAGTCTTCTAACATCTACTTATTTACTCTTAGCTCAGTCATGACTCCTGGTGGTTTACATAAAATGGAAGAGTAAAAATGGCACAATGATACAAAACAAAAGCTGAATTGAAAATTAATTTTTTTAATCTCCCATCGTAACTATTTTACTAAACTCTAAATGCCCACAAAAGAGTTTTTAACATCTTCCCAAAGTGGGGTTCCAGGTAAAACTCTGGGGTCATTGTGTTCCAATGCATGAGAGCCTCCACAGAGAAGAGCTGTCTTCAAGTTTTTGTCCTTCTGAATTGTTGTAGGAATACATTCCCACAAGCAAGCAGTGACTAGGCAGATTTCACTTCAAAGAGGCCATCAGTAATCTATCCTGGAGCAAAGATATGTAGTCTTAAAGGTGAAGAACAGCTAATTGAATTGGAGCTGGGAATCTATTAGCAATCAGTGCTGTAATTAAAGAACAGGTACATATAGTACTAAAAAACAGGAATTGCTTTGAAGTCCTGAACCTCTTTGTTGGAAATCAGGAGCTGTAAAATAAAGTGAAAAAATTTATTAAGGATGAATCTGAAAAGAAACTGCCAAAGATCAAGAAAGAGAAGAAAGCAAAATGGAAGTTACAAGAAATAGCGGAAATTGTCATGAAGAAAAGAGAAGCCAAAGCCAAGAAAGACAGGAAGGAAAGATAGGAAGGAATTTCAGAGACCCTTTAGAAGAGACAAGATGCAGTATTACAACACCTGTAAAGACATAAAAGATGGAAAAACAAGGAAACCTTGAATTGGTATGCTAAAGGACACTAACAGACAGATAATACTTGAATTAAAGATGACTGAACAAAGATGGAAGGAACATGCAAAAATTCTGTTCAATATAGATGTTAACATCCAAGTTATACTAGAAGATGTTCTGTACTTGCAAAAAGGTCGGGTTCTGAAAAATTAAGCTAGATCAGCATTTCAGTCGTTACCACATTGGAAATCTACAGGAATTGATGGAATATCTACAGGGTTATGGCAAGTAACAAAAGATTCAGGAAAAGTCCTAATTATGTTTTACCAGCAAACCCTAAGAACCAAATTGTAGCCCACAGAAATCAATCTGCCAACTATTTGTGCAATATCCTTAATTCCACAAGTTAGCAAAATAATGCTTAGGCCCATCCAGTGCAAATTAGAGCCCAATATGAAAAAGTAGATGCCAGATATCCAAGCTGGCTTTTTAAAAGGTCAGAAGAATACTTAAAAATGGTGATTCTAGAACATCTCAATTTTCTATAAACCTGTTAGGAAACCACAGTATGGACAGAAATCCTGTACATAGAAAACTTTGGTATGGAAGGAACAGGGCAAAATATTCTAGCTTTAGGTTGGCAATGGAGCGAGCAAAGCAATATGCTCATTCAGCTTCTTTGCAAAATGTATATTGAAGGTAGCTTAGAAGAAGTTGCGTGTAGTTTTAAAACTAGAGAAAGAAAAACCAATAGCCTGTATTGTGCTGATGACACTACCCTGAAATAATCTGCAAGCTCTAGTAATGAAATTCAAGGAGCACAATGAAAACATGTAACTTAAGTATACAGACCAGATTAATGACCACAGGTATAGTAACCAGCCTTAGAATTGACAATGATATCAACCTAGCAGATGGTTTTTTCCTTTTAGGATTGACTACTGAATTAACAGCAAAGGAATCATCAGTCAAGAAGTATACTACATATTAGCAAGGGGTTGAATAGCAACGAAGACCTTGGAAAAGCTATTCCAGTGCTGAAATGGGTCAAGGATCAGAATGATACAGACATTGTTTTTCCTGGTACATTCAGTAGAAGCAGAAGATTTATTCTGAAAAAGCAGAACAGAAAGAGTCTGAACTTTGGTGTTAAGAGAAGATTCCTGTGGAATCTTAGATTGCAAACTATCTTCTTTAGGGAATGGGTAATCTCATTCAGAATATAGCTGGGACAAGAAAAATTCTGGAGAAGCAGCAATTTTATCTTGCTACGATCTAGTTTGAGCTTTTGCCCAGCCAGAACATCACAGCGTTTACAAATGAGAAGATTTCCATAATGTCTCTGATTCAGCCTAGAGTGGCAGTGTAAAGCTGATAATCATCAGAGTGTTGCTATACAGAATACAAAGGGTGACCTTGACAGAGATAAGTAAGATTCTTTACCTAAGCAATGAGGCAAAAACATGGATTAAATTCAAGACTCTGTTATTATAAACAATCTTAATAAAGATGGTTTAGGCTTCCAGTGGATTTGCTTTCTGGTCTGGAACTAATATCAATCTTGCAAATCTAACTGTTTTGCCTTCTCCCCATCTTTTATTCCTGTAAATTAAGGCATCTGAAACGTTTTTTTGGTATCTTCTGTATATCTTAAGCCATATTTTTTCACCTTGTTACTTTGGTATTGGATCTTGCCTGTATCTGTTAGTCCTCCTTTTAATTCTGTAATTGCTGATAATGCATACCAGTCTGACAGATGACCTTTTTCAGCAGCATTACATAAATGTTAAAGAGATGAAGGGAGAGAATCAAAGCTTGTGGTACCCAACAATTTATAGCAGTAGACTTATATACCGCTTCATAGGGCTTTCAGCCCTCTCTAAGCGGTTTACAGAGAGTCAGCAT